TAGAAAATCTTAGTTAACCTGCTTGAAGCATGATATTCTTTGCAATTTCATTTAGTATTTTGTTCATTCTTTCCACAACTGGGGTGTTGAGTTATCTTTATAACCGTATTTAGCAACTTAATTTCATTCTTAGAATATTAATCACTGAACATTGTGTTGTTGTACTCTCCCGAATTATTTGACTTCTGACTCTTGTTCTTCAATTTAGTCTCATACTTTCATTCTCTATAAAACTTTTCACTTCTTAAAGGTATTGAAGACATCATATTTATCTTTTAGAAAATAAAGATGTACCTTTCCTATTGAATTTTCTATAATGATTACATAGTATAATGAGCCTTTTATTTAAGAAATTGATGTAGGATCACACACATCCAAAAGAACCAACTCAAACTTCCCATCCATGGATGATATTTCCCATCTTTACAATGGTAATCTTTTTCTATTTTCAAATGGCACAAATTCACAAGAATCAATAGTCATGTTCTTCATATAAAGAATTTGCATTTCGTAGTTAGTATTTTTATACCTTTTTACCATGCTTCCAATGGTATATGGGTCCTTGGATTTCCCAATATAACAAACATACATTGGAAAACCAAAATTACGGAAGTAAACAATTCAAATACACTTGTGAACATGCCAAACTTCTCTCAAGATTTGGCATTGATAACCAAACTTCAAAGTCGATTTATATGGTTCATTTGGGTTACATGCAACTGTTAGAAGATAGTGCTCACAATCACAACAATTGGTAATATTACTATTAATTATATGGTTCATTTGGGTTACATGCAAAAGCAAATATAAGCAATATTGGTTAGAGATGAATTATAGAGTTCTAGTTTTTTAATTAATTATGTAACACCCAAAAATTTAAGGCAAATTTAAACTTTTCAAAAACACTTTAAATCAATAATCATTACAATTTGGTTTCCAAAATGGTTCATATCAGAGTTTTCCCAGCAATCATAACAAAAGATAAGGAGTTGTACGATCAAGCCTTAGCCTTGCCGCGATCCCCCGATGTACCTGAAACAATAAACTGTAATTTTAAGCCTGAAAGCTTAGTGAGTTCCCCCAAAATACCCATACTCACAGCTATACATATAGAATCACAAGCAGCATACTATGGGTCCAATC